CCCCCCGCCCGTCCCCCCAGCCTGTGTCCCCAGCCTGTGTCCCCAGCCTGTGCCCCCAGCCTGTGTCCCCAGCCTGTGCCCCCAGCCCGGCCCCCCAGCCTGTGCCCCAGCCTGTGCCCCAGACTGACCTCCCCAAGATGACCCCCATCTTCAGCAGAAGGGAGTCCACATTCTGAGAATTAAGGGGGTCCCTTTATGTCCATTTTGGGAGGAGGCACCAGCAGGTGCTCAAGGATCTCGTGGGACACCCTGGTTCTGAGTCCCCAGAGCCCTGGGCTGGGGTGGGGAGCCTGGCCCTGGTCCACACGGTCTGAGGGGCAGGGGACTCACTGCAATGGCCTGGAGCCGCTCCTGCTGGGACGTGGTCTCTGCTGCCAGGACCCTGGGGGAAGGGGACGCACAAGGTCAAGGTGGGGTCCACCCCAGCCTGCTTTCAACAGGTCTGGCTGGAACCAGACCTGTGCCCGCCAGCTGGGTGGGAACATTCCGGCCCCTCGGAGGCAGCAGCGTCGTCTCCTCCAGCCTCATTCCCTCATTCGTTCTCCCACCAACCCCCCCCCCCCAAGGGCCCAGGGGCGTGGGGGCGGGGCTCAGGGCAGGGTTTGGGGATGAGCTGGGCATGGAAGGCTGTGAAGAAGAGCTGTGCAGCCCCCCCTTGTCCAGACTGGAGACTGATCAGACCGCCCCCCTCCCCCTCCCACCCGGCAAGCACCTGTCGTCCAGCCCTGGGAGGGACACACAGAGGGCGAAGGACCTAACAGCCCCCCCAACCTAGGACCTGCTATCCTGGGGCTTCCCCTGGACTCTCCCAGGAGCCCCAGGGCTCAGAAAGGGCTCCCAGCTCCCCCGGGAACACGAGGCAAAGCAGCAAACCCAGATTCCAGAGCCAGACCCCCTTGCTCATCCACTGGATGCTTTCGGAAAGCCGCCAGTGCGGTTTTAGCTTTAAACGGGCACATGGCGGGCACGTGACAAATGTCCGTGTGGTCAGGTACAGCTGAAGGGACAGGGCTTCCTGCTTGGGGGGGCAGGAGGCCCAGGACCGGGCGGCTGCCTGGTTCCTGCCCTTCCCCGCCCTCAACGCCGCCCCCAGAGCCCGGCCTTCCCCTTCTGTGGTCTCTCCCAGGGTCAAGCTGCACACGGCAGGTGCTCAGGAAAACGTCTGCACCTGAACTGTCTCGCTCAGGGCCTCTGTGACAGGCGAGGCAGGGAGAGCAGGCGCGCGACCTCCCGACCTCTGGGTTCTCTGCCCAAATCCCGAGCGGTCCCGGGGCCGCTCTGCACTCACCGGTCTCACGGGGCCGGGGCCGGGCCGGCCGGCACAGCGGGGTTCTGGACAGAGGCAACGGGACCCTCTACGTCGCCTTCGCACCCCAAGCCCCTCGTCTTCACAGGGACGAGACTTACAGCCTGGCCTTCAGCTCTGCTCCCGCCCCAGCCAGCCCTCCGCCGTGCGGTCGGGGCCACCCTGGGGCCTCCACCGACCCTCCAACGTCTCCGGGCCCTGGCTCCCCATTGGCACAAACGGTGGGAAAAGATGCCGTGGCTCCCGTCCCGTGTCCCCTCCCCCTGTGGTTCAGAAAGGAAACAGAGGCGCAACGTCACACGGTGTCCTGGGCCTTCACCCACACCCAGGCGGCTGCTCCATCCTGCGGTGCCCCACCGCCCAGTGTCCTCAGGTTCAGTTTCCTGGCCTGGCCGACACCCATGAAGTCATCTGGTTCTCACGCCCCGGCCAGGTGACCCCACCCAGCTCTTCCTTTCCTGGCAGGTGGGACCTGCCCCCTCTATGCCTCCCAGGGACCAGCAACACCAGCCACACCCTCTGTGGCTTCCCTCTCTCCTTCCTCAGGGAGGCTGGGTTCAGCTGGGTGGAGTTCAGGAAAGGCTTGATCCAGCACTCTGGCTTGGAGGCCCTCCCTGAAAGCCCTGATCAGCTACATTTCTGGGTCTGCCACACTGCTCTGTGTTCTCCACGTAGGCCCCCCTGCCCCCCAGTTTCTTACAAAGCTCACATTTCCCATCTCAGGCCTCCACCATGGCCTGCAATGGGCCTGGCCCCTGAAGGTCGCCTCCCCACCCACAACAGAGGCAGCTTCTCAAAACAAAAACCAGAACCACTCATTCTCATGCTCTTTAGTCTCCCTGACTCCTACCACCCCGCAAAAGAAGCCCCATGTAGCCCCGCCCACCGACCTGTCTGCCTTAACCTTCTCCCTCTTGCTTTCGCTGTCCCAGCCACCAGCAGCTCTGGTCCCCCTCAACTGCACCAAGCTCACTCCTACCTCAGAGTCTTTGCACTTGCTGTTCACTTTGCCTGGTACGTTCTGTCCGTGACTGGAGAGTGAAGCCCAGAGACGGCAAGTCACTTGTCCACAGTCACACAGCTGGGAAGTGGCAGAGCTCTGGGCCACCCACAGGCCTACCCTTTCCTGGCTGTCACGTGGCCTCCAGGGACCCACCAGGAGGATGGCAGAGCTGGGGGGGAGGGGGCACAGAGCAGCCGAGACACCCCTGCACACAGGGCCGTGCAGGGCCTAATGCTGGGTCCCCACCCCAGCAGGCAGGTGGCCATTCAGGCCGGACGCAGGGACACAGGGACGCTCTGTGGCCGGTTTGCCAGGCTGCAGACAACAAGGCAGGCAGTGTCCTCGATGGGCGCCGCGTCCGGCCGAGCCAGGTCAGGGGAAGGTCAGGCGGGCCCAGGGCGGAGAGGCACACAGGGCCCAGGGAGAGAACTGCCACTCCTCCCGAGGACGTCCCTGTCCCTGTCACGGCTTAAAGGGCACATACTGTGTGCCCCCCTAAAGCGCCCCTCCCCATGCCTCAGGGCGCCAAAGCTGCCCCGCCCCGGGAGCCACCCCCCCCCCCCCCCCGCCCGTGGGGCCCGCGGGAGGCGGTCGCCCTGGCAACCGCACCGTCCCCATGGCAACGCGGAGGCCGGCACGCGGGGGGTTGGGCCGGCGCGGAGCATCTCCCGCCCCCAAGCCGGGCGCTGGGGGGCTAAAGGGTTTCCTGCCCTGGGCCTCAGGGGCTGCCAGAGAGCGTGGGGTGCAGAGAGGTAAGGGGGTCCGCCCGCCCCCGCTTCTGGGGGTGCCTCCCGCTGTGGTGTCAGGGGCCCCAGTCCAGGGAAGGGGATTGTATCCAGAAGGCTCTGGACCTACCCCTGGAGCCAGGGAGCCAGAGTCGAGCCAAGAGAGCGCTTGGCATCGTAAATCCGAAACACAAAACAAAGTACGACCGCAGAACCCTAACCAAACAGCCATAAAGTAAGGACACCTGGCCCGGGCGCTCACTGCCTTCGATCTGGCCCCATTTTCCAGGATGGGAAACTGAGGCTTGGGAGCAGATGGGCGGGTACAGGGCATTTGCTAAACATCCTCCCGATGGTCCTGAGAGGCAGGTGGGATGATCAGGCCTGTTTTATCAGTGGGTGAACCGACCTGGGATCTGGATCCAGACAGGTGGACTCCTGAGCGCTCGGGGAGCCCAGGGCCAGGCCTCGGGGCTGGGGGCGGGGCGGGCAGTGGAGCGGCGGGGACCCAGCGAGCGAAGCAGAGGCCAGATGCCAGGCGAGGCTGGGCAGAGAAGCCGACACGGGCCGGGTCTGGACAGGTGTGGCAGCGGTCCTCACCGGCCGCGGGGCCCAGGGCAGGCCGTTGCGTCCCGGGCCTCCACTGGCTGGGCTGGGCAATGGGCCGCAGCCTGCAGCTGCCGGTGCAAGGACACACCCTCGGGGGGGCCCACCCTCCCCGCACACAGACTCCTGTCCTTGCCTGATTATTTTTACAGAGCTTGGAGCGAATTCTGGGCTCGAGCCCCAGTGTGGGCGGCTCAGGACTCGCGAGGGTGTGGGCTGAGAGCGAGTGAGATAATCCTGGCTTCGGGAGATGAGCTAATGAGGCCCAAACCCAAACGAGCCGGGCCCTGCAGAGGCCCCGGCTCCGGGAGGCATTTATGTTTTAAAGGCACCAGAGAGGTTACGCAATTGCCCAAGGTCACCCAGCGGGCAGGGTGAGCTGGGTCTGAGGCGGGAGGGGCCCAGCCCCCGGCAACGCTCCTGTGCTGCTAACAGGGAACAGCTGACCGTGGCCTCGGCCTTAGCCTCGGCCATGGGGGCAGGGAAGGGGAGCAGAGTGCGGCTGAGGGAGGGGGTGAGGGAGGGGCCCTGCGGCCTGTTCCCCACCGGGGAGTCCCAGGCTCACTGCTGGTTCCTAGCTCCCTGGTGGGGCCTTTATCTCCCTTCGCGGCCCCCACCCCCAAACCTTCCTCCCGGTAAACCCCTGCACGGCCCGGCCAAGCGTCAGCCTCGCCGCTGGCATTCAAGGCCTCACCCTTCACTAGCCCCCTGCCTTCCCCTTTCCTTCCTCCACCTCCAAGGTCAGCACATGTGCCTCTTCCAGGAAGCCTTCCTGATCTTCTTCCCTCATCAGGAAGGAATTCTCTTCCTCCGAGACCCTCAGCACTCAGCACAAGGGACCACTACTGTGTTTGGTGAGGTGAACAGCCCGTGAGGCAGGATGGGCTTTCCGGAAAGCTCAGGGCAGAAAGGCATCACCCCCCACAGCAGAAACTGGATCAGAGCAGGCCACAGATCCAGAGGAGCAATTGTTGCCTATTAACCTGGGGACGGGGGAGGGGGTGGACCCTGCCCTGGGCCCTCACAGGGGGAAGGGCAGTGGGGCATGAACGGCACCCAGAGGCCTTCTCCAGCTTCAGGCAGGCTGGGCCTCAATCCCCAAAGAGCCATCGTCCCTCCCCACCCCTCCCTCGGGTCCGGCCACAACCCCAGACACTCCAGGCATGCCCGCACCTCAGGACCTTTGCACTGGCCGTGTGCTCTCTCCCGGGCTTCACCGGCTCCCGCGGCATCCCCTCCTCACGGGGCCTCCCCTGTGGGCCCAGCCCCTCGCCAGCTCACACCCAGCAACACCCTAGTCGTTTATGTTGTTTCTTATTTCCCCACAAGGACAGGATCTCTTTCTGTCCCCGCCACGTCCCCAGCGCGCAGTGAACAGCAGAATTCGGTGAACGTTCACTGGACCGGAGACTCAGAGTCTTTACATTTTCAGAGGCAGCCCCGGCCCAGGGTCCCTCCCTGTCACGCTCCCGCCACGCCGAGGACCACTGTCCCGTGACCGGCTCCTCTTTCTTTTTTTTTTTTTTTGAAGAAACTCAGTGTCACATCAGACATTTATCTAAAACAGGCTCCCCACCTCCAGCCACCTCAGAAGGGCCCAGACGACCCAGTGTCGGGCGCCTGGGGGCTCAGTCGGTTAAGCCTCCAGGTCACGATCTCACGGTTCGTGGGTTCGAGCCCCGCGTCAGGCTCTGTGCGGGCGGCCCGGAGCCTGGAGCTGCTTGGAACTCTGCGCCCCCCTCTCTCTGCCCCTCCTCGTTCTCAAAAATAAACAAACATTAAAAATTTTTAATAAAAAGTAAAATTAAAAAAACAACTCAGTGTCCACTGACGGATAAACAGATACAACGCGTCCACCACACACAGGACGGACCCTCAGCCTCGAGCAGGACGAGGCGCCCACACCCGCCGCCCGGCGGACGGACCCTGAACACGCGACGCTCAGGTGCGGCCACCGCGCACGCGCACGTCCCGCGGGTGCGGCCACCGCGCACGCGCACGCCCCTCGGGTGATTCCACCGCGCACGCGCGCGTCCCTCGGGTGCGGCCACCGCGCACGCGCACGTCCCTCGGGTGCGGCCACCGCGCACGCGCACGCCCCTCGGGTGATTCCACCGCGCACGCGCACGCCCCTCGGGTGATTCCACCGCGCACGCGCGCGTCCCTCGGGTGCGGCCACCGCGCACGCGCACGTCCCTCGGGTGCGGCCACCGCGCACGCGCACGCCCCTCGGCCGCGAGCACGGACGAGGCGCCCACACCCGCCGCCCGGCGGACGGACCCTGAACACACGACGCTCAGGGAGGGAACCAGACACGGGAGGCCACGCGGGTGTGAGTCCACGTGCGTGACGCGTCCAGAACAGGCTCCTCCACGGGAGGGAGGGGGCTCGTGTGCACTGGGGGTTGGGGAGGGGACAGGGGTGCTTTTGAGCTGATGGAATGTTCTGGAAATAGAAAGAGGAGATGGTTGCACAACTATGTGAACTTACTGAAAACCACTGAATTGTATCCTTCCGACAGGTGGATTGTGTGGTGTGTGAACTGTGTCTCAGGAAGCTGGTAGAAAACACACACACACGTGCAGGGAGAAGGCGGGCGCGGGGCCCCATGGGCATCGTCAGATCCTGCGGCCCCGCCCGGGGCTCTCGGGGTCGGAAGGTTTGAGCACAAACCGACCCGGCAGCGCCTTCTCACAGTGCCAGAAATCACCGGGACTCCCCGTCGGGTCACCGGGCCTCCAGAGCCCGCAGTGCGGCCCCCGCACCCGCCATCTGCCGCCGGGTCCATGCAGCCACCCCACCCACTCCGTCCTCACCACACGGCCCGGGCGGGGCCCCTCCCAGTTCCCCGCCCGGCCCAGACTGCCCCAGCGATGGGCTCGGACGGTCCCTGAATTCCCGCTTTACCCCACACCCGCCCAGCAGAAGA